ATTGGTCGGCACCTGCTAGCGTCTTCAAGCAGGTCCTGGCCAATGAATAACAACTGGGCGGAGCCTGCCGTGATGTCAAAGCCGACTCTGCCCATTTGTTATTGTTTAATGACTGACCAGCGTCCCCAGGTCAAACTGGCTCCACCCAGCTTTCAATTGTGGGGCTTACGGCCGGCCTTCGGCCTTGAATGATGAAATATGATCATATTGATATGTGTTTGTCCACCACAAGGGGAATTTATAAATACTGGGGCAGACAAAATCTGGAGCAGATGGCCATGGCAACCAATCAGCTTCCATCTTTCATTTGCAAAGCGTAACTGAACAAACTGAAGAGAGAAGCTGATTGGTTACTATCACAAACGGACGCAGATGCATTCATAAATGTCCCACAATTTCCGTGACATTGGAAAGATACTGTGTAGGGAGAATTGATGATCTTTGCTGAATCACATAGTCTAATGTCCTATTATACTAAATAGTGTTATGTTTTCTTATTTTGCAATAGTTCTGAAAGAGATCACAGTTAAGACCGCTTGATAAATGTGACACAAAATAAGGCACACCCTTATCTTGGAGAATATATAGATGGATAGTATTAAATATATCGTTCAAAACGTCAAAACATTTAGAAATGGAATGTTTGACACTTGTTTATCACACTTGTGGCTGTGAGACACTCATCTTGATAAGATGCCAGTCGCCACTTTAAGGCCTGTTTCCCACCTAGGCATTTTTGAGCAGTAGGAAAACTACCAACACAAGAAATCCCATGATTTCCAATGGCCCCTGTTCACACCTGGGAAGCAAAACGCCAGCAGGAAAACGCCAAACACAGAAAAAGGTACATGAGCTTCTACATGAGCTTCTTTTGGCACTTTCAAGCGCCTTTTTCCCCCATAGACTTAAATGGAACCGCCAGAAAATGCGCAGCAGAAGCATGTTGCACATTGACGTGTGCATTTGTACGTGCATTCCTCCATTGACCGCAATGTTTCTTAAGCTGCCAGTCAAAACATGCATTTTCATGTGCGCGCGTTTACACGCACGTGACATTTTCAAAACATGCATAAACGTGCAAATGATCGCACGCTGAACATGCGCGTACAAATGCACAAAAACGATGCTGCCTAGGTGTGAACCAGTTCTAAGAAATTATAATGGAACGACGAACGCCATTTTAGGGGTTTGCCAGCCTTATCTTGTGAAAGCACCTGTTATGTATGTGTAATGGTCTGAGGTAATGTTATTATATGATCGGATACTTAATAACCAATAATGTATAAGTACAATTCTTATCTTGATGTGTGAACTTATAAAGGTTTTATGGAATGAGCTGGGGATGGGACTGATGATCTATGAGACACCCCATGGGGAGCTTCACCCCCTCAGCTTATCTGATTCAACGCTATTTCACCTAAGTGGTTGCTGATCAAATCAAATTTGGGGTCAGGCCCCTTTACAATACCCTCTCACTTCCTGTTGAGTCTACAGGGCAGGAAGTGAAATCTCAGTAATGTGACACAAATAGCAAACAAAGAAGCAAACCAAAAAGAAAAAACTACTGACAACAACCTGTCGCACTGTGAGCAATGTTGTGTGCACCACCACTGCATATTCTCCAGTCATTACTGCTGAGCTCGTTGCATCTTCTAAGGCACCATTTGTGCCTTGTACGTGTTTTCGCTTGTGAAATGGGACAAACTATCTTTTGCGCCTTTCTACGTGCAGTTTTGATCCGCGTTTTTGTGCGCTTTTTGCATGTTTTCACAAGCGTTTTATGCTCATAAATGTGGTCGCAAAAATACAGCGGGGTCAGAACGAGCTGTAACATGCCAAAAAAAAAAAAAAAAGCTCCTATACTTTTTCCAGAGACACGCATTTTGCTTATTGCGACAAAACGCTCAGATGTGAACAGGGACATAGAAATGATTTGGATTTTTTTTTGGGGGGGGGCATATTTTTTGAGCTTTTTTTTACAGGGATCCCAACCTAAAATGAGTAATTTCAGGGAGGTGCCCTTCTCATTTCAGGGAGGTGCCCTCTGTCAACAACAAGGAAGAGAGCACCCCCCTGAAATGATGGCAGATAGCAAAGAAACTAATGCTTCCTTTTGCTATCTGCTGTTTTTTTTTGTGTTCTTACAGCTGATGCCGTCAGAAAAAAAAAAACGGCATAGGAACTAATAACTAGATTGCTATTGGCTATTTCAATTTGCAATAGCCAATAGCAAGCTGAATATTGCACCCGCCTTCTGCTGCTGTCAGTCAGCAGAGGTGGACCTGATGGAGAACTTCAGGTCCACCGCTGCTGATTGACAGCAGCAGAAGGCGGGTGCAATAGCTAGTCTGCTATTGGCTATTGCAAATTGAAATAACCAATAGCAATCTAGCTATTAGTTCCTATGCCGTTTTTTTTTGTTTTTTTTCTGATGGCGGCTGGCGGCCCCGATATCAGGAAGAAAAAAAACAGACAGCAGGGAGAGGTTTACTCTGCTAGATACAGCAGAGTAAACATTTCCGGGGAAAATGTTTCTCTCCCGGGTGTCCGGGAGCCGCTATCTAATAGCGGGAGACTGCGGGAACATACGTTAGAGTTGAGATGCCTGTTTTTAGGGCAGAAAAAGGTCTACAAAACACTCAGAGTGAGCCGCGCCTTATTCTACGGGCAGCTGGATCTAAACAGACATGCGTGTGTTTACATCTAATTACCCCTGACTCTGTTTAGATCCAGCATATGAAACAGAAGGAACAGTTCTGTTTTGACGAACCCGATGGTAACAGATCAAAGCTAATCTGATGTAAGCGGACACATGTCCCACTCCCCGTAGGCTTAATAGACTATATTAAAAAAACGGACACAGATGTCACAAGAGCGCAATCTGCTCTGTGCTGATCTGAACGGATAGTACCCGTGTGAAAGCGGCTTCAGCAGGAGTATTGAATCCACAAATGGTTTATTGGACTTTCTCCTAATTTAGCACAGCCAACGCTCCTTGCCAATATTGTTTGTGTCAGTGTTGTATGATGCCAGCACCGTATGTGTGGAGATTGATGTATTGGGCTACAGTTGTTTGACAACATTGTAATTTAGTTTATTACACATTGGGAAACTATTTTGTATATGGGCTCTTTTGTTACATGTATCTCACTGATTTGTTGCCATAAAACCAAGGGTGGGCAACTCCGGCCCTCCAGCTGTGCTTTAACTACGAATCCAAATGTGCCTCTGCCTCTGGGAGTCATGGCTGTTACTGTCAGTCTTGCAATGCCTCATGGGACTTGTAGTTTCACAACAGCTGGAGGACTGGAGTTGCCCACCTCTGCATTAAAGGATAGTTTTAAATACAGCTAGCCCAATTGTTCTTCTTTCCTTTTCTTTATTTTGATTTATGTGTCTCTGGGCGGGGTAGCTGCTGCTCCTGTGCAACTGCAATATATTGAATTGTGATCTGAACACTCTAAATCAGGGGTAGGTAACCTTGGCACTCCAGCTGTTGTGGAATTACAAGTCCCATGAGGCATTGCAAGACTCTAAGGCCCTGTTCACACTGAGCGATTTATCGTGCGGTAATTGCCGCGATATAGCGGCTATTTACCGCGCAATATCGCTCTCCAATGCATCTCAATGGGGCTCTGTCTGTAGCTGTCGCGGGTCGTGCGTCGCTACAACAGGACCCTTTTTGGAGCGGATTTTGCCGCGATTCTAGCTTGTTCAATGCAAGCATTTGCGCGATATCGCGCAAAATGCAAATTGCGCGGCAAACGCGCGATTTGTGAATCGCTCAATGTGAATGGGGCCTCAAGGTGCCCATACACCTTACGATTATCGGACGATTTTCGTATGCGATCCACTTTTCGTCCGATAATCGTATGTGTGCATTGCAGTGTCCGACCGACATTACTGTACAATCGTACGACTTTTGACAGTCAAGCATGTTTGAAAACTTTGCTCGATCGTACGATTGTCGTAAGGTTGCTGGCGTTTCCGTCCATCAAAAGTCGTACGATCTACACTGCGCATGCGCGAACGAAAATACGACAAATCAATTACCGCATTTCGCCCAGGTGCTTTTCGTTAATTACGGCTAAATTAATCTTGCGATCATCGGGGCAGGATGGGGCTGCCGTACGAAAATCGTACGACTATTCGATCATCGGACGAAACGTTTTGTACGATAATCGTAAGGTGTATGGGCACCTTAACAGACACGACTCCCAGAGGCAGAGACATAAAGGAAAATGTAGTTTAAACACTGGAAACATCGCTGAAGTGCCAAGGCTGCCCTACTCCTGCGATAAAGGATATTATATAAGGGTAGCACCTTTTCCTTTTCTTTATTTTGTTATGTTTGTCTCTGCGTGGGCTAGCCGCTGTTCCTGTGCGACTGAATAATACTGAAATCTGATCTGAACTGTAACCTCGGTACTCCAGCTGTTGCAGGACTACAAGTCACATGAGGCATTGCAAAACTCTGACAACCACGGGGGTGACTCCCAGAGGCAGATGCATGATGGGACCTGTAGTTTGACCACAGCTGAAGTGTCGAGGTTGCCAACCTGTGCTCTACATGGGCTCATTGTACCTACAATTTTTGTACAACAGTTTTAACCCTCGCTAACTCTGTCTGAAGTGAAAACAAAGTTTTGTACTTATACTTTAAACTTTGAATTTGTACAGCGGCGTCCTCATGTTGTGTTGCACTGTACTCTCGTTTCTCCACACAGCAGAGTCAATAATGACTGTGGGCTGGACTAGATGTGCTGTCATGAGACTGCCTCTGCTTGTTGGTATAGAGAGAGAATTCAGAGCATTGTTCAGCTTCCTTTTCCTTCT